CATATAACAGCTATAAAGCACAAAACAGGGCTACAACTTTCGAAACGGCCGGTCGGGCCGTTACAATAACCCACAATACCCTTACTCCATTGCTGCCGTAATCCTGCACTGAAATTCAATTGAATCCTTCATAAGGTCATGTAATAGAAATCATAAAATGCCTCAAATCATCTGCTAAGCTTACAACACCCTTCCTCCATTTCTTTATTGGGCTATGTTGTATCTTCCGAGGGCATTAAGATGGATCCTAAGAAGATTGAGACAGTTCAGAACTGGCCTAGACCTACTTCAGCTAAAGAGGTTTGGAGCTTCTTGGGTTTGGCGGGTTATTATCGCCGGTTCGTGGAGGGGTTTTCATTTATCTTAGCCCTATTGACCAAGTTGACCCAGGAGGGTGCTCTTTTCAGATGGTTCAACGAGTGTGAGATGAGATTTCAGAAGCTCAAGACTGCATGAACCACATCCCTAGTGTTGGTGTTACCTACGGGTTTGGGGTCTTATATCGTGTATTCTGATATATCGCATATTGTGCTGGCCTGATACTGATGCAGGATGGTAGGGTGATTGCATACGCATCTCGATAGTTGAAGGATAATGTAAGGAATTACCATGTGCATGATTTAGACTTGGCAGCTATTGTTCACGCGCTGAAGATTTAGAGGCACTATCTATACGGCGTTCCATGTGAGGTCTATACCGACCAACGGAGTCTCCAGTACATGTTCAAATAGAAAAACCTTAATTTTCGGCAGCGGAGATGGTTGGAGTTGTTGAAAGGCTATGATATCACCATATTATATCATCGGGGGAAGGCCAATGTAGTGGCCGATGCAATGAGTAGGAAGGCTGAGAGCATGGGCAGTTTGGCATATTTACCAGTAGTGGAGACGCCACCAGCCATGGATGTTTCAGGCTTTGGCCAATCGGTTCATGAGATTGGAAATTTCAGAGCCTAGTCGGGTTCTCACTTGTGTTGTGGCACGGACTTTTTTGTTGGAGCGCATCAAGGCTCGCCAGTTTGATGATCCTCATTTGTTGTTGAAAGACATGGTACAGCGGGGTGGTGCTAAGGAGGTTATGATTGGTGATGATGGTGTTCTGTGGCTTCAAGCCAGGCTTGTCTTCCAAATGTTAAGGGGTTGAGAGATTTGATCCTTGAGTAGGCTCACAGTTCGCGCTATTCCATTCACCCAGGTGTCACGAAGATGTCCCATGACTTCAAAGAACACTATTGGTGGCGGAGAATAAAGAAAGATATTGTTGCTTATGTCTCTCGGTGTTTATATTGTCAACAAGTTAAGTATGAACATCAGAAACTAGGCGGGTTGACTCAGAGATTGGAGATACCAAAGTGAAAGTGGGAGCGCATCACTATGAGGAGAAATTGGTGGCTATTCTAGACCGGCAAGTTTGTAAGTTAAGATCTAAGAGTTTTCCTTCTGTGAAAGTGCAATTGAGAGTTCAGCCGATTGAGGAGGCTACGTGGGAGTCTGAGTCCGATATGCGGAGTAAATACCCCCACCTTTTTACCAGTCCAGGTACTTTTCTATGTCCGTTCGAGGACGAATATTTTTTTTAGAGGTGGAGAATGTGACAACCCGATAGGTCAATTTGAGTACTAGCCTTAATTTCTATTTTCTAAGACCTCTCATAGCTTTATTTGATGTTTTTTCATTTGCGTGCATGGTCCCTGTCATTTTTCGGAAAGTTTTACGTAAAATTTTGAAGAAAATATGACTTTTGACTTAAAATGAGGCTAGAGTTGACCACGGTCAACATTCTCGGTAAACGACCTCGGATCGGTGTTTTGACGATTCCAGTAGGTTTGTATAATATTTTTGGACTTGTACGCACATTTGGTTGGGGTCCGGGGTGACCCGAGCACATTTTGTCACATTATATGAAAAATTATGAATATGAGTTATTAAGTTGAAATTCTTGAGTTTTGATGGTCGATTCGTGTTATTTGATGTTATTTTGATGATTTAAGGTAGCGAGCAAGTTTGTTGGTTGTTATTATACTTATGTGCATGTTCAGTTTGGAGCCCGAGGGGCTCGTGTGAGTTTCAGGCACATCACATGAGTTTGGAATAGTCGATGTCGCAAATGCGAGATACTACTCGCAAATGCGAGCCTTGCTTTTGCGAGTGACTGCTTGCATCTGTGAATGGAGCTGGGGAATGGGCACTTCGCTAATGCGAAGTTTTGATCATAAATGCAGACAGTGGGAGATCCACAAATGGGAAGTTACTGTCGTATTTGCGACACTTGGGAAGGCTGGCCAGCTTTGCAAATACGAAGTTTTGATCGCAAATGCGCACGTGGGGAGGTCGCAAATGCGAACCTTTTGTCGCAATTGTGACTTCTTGGGGCCTATTGCACTGGTCGCTTTTGCAATAAGTGTTTCGCAAATGCAGGCTTCGCAATTGCGATACTTGCAGCTGGGTAAAGGAGGAAAAAATCGGGACTTAGCTCATTTTATACCATTTCTCAACCCCAAACATCCTAGAGGCAATTTTTGAAGAATATTTTCTTCCCAAATTCATTGGTAAGGAACTCTATTTCATTTTCTATCAATTCCCTATTATTTTTCATGAGGTTTTAATATCAAATCTATAAATTATATGGTAGAAATTAGGGGTTTTGGATAGAATTTAGGGATTATGTAAAATTGAGATTTAGACCTCAAATTAAGGTCGGATTTTGGAATAAATTACATAATCGGGCTCGGGGATAAATGGATAATCGTTTTTTGGTTCGGATCTCAGATTTTGACCAAGCGGACCAGGGATTGACTTTTGTTGACTTTTCAATTTAGCTAAAAATTGAATGTTTTTAACTCGTGAGTAGTTTCTAAAGCTTATTTTGAAGTGTTTGAACAATATTTGGCTAGATTCGATTAGTTTGGACGCTTGTTCTAAAGGAAAAGTCATGGTTGAGTATTGATTTGGTTACAGAAAGAGGTAATCTTGTTTAACCTTGACTTGAGAGAATTAGGACTTGTTGATTTATTTGCTATGTGAATTATGTGTGGAGACGGCGTATATGCCAGGTGACGAGTGTATATGCGCTGGCATGGGTTAAAGCATGGGGGTTGGGCTATTTACCTTTATGTCATCACATATTCCATATTATCTCTTGTTACATGATTTGATCGCTACATAATCTTACTTGTTATCCATGCCTTACTTGTTACCTGACATTTAGTTGTTACCTGTCTTGATTTATTCATTTCTCGCTCAATATCTGCTTACCTGCTACATGTTCCTACCTGTATTAATTGTATATCTTTATTGTCACATGTCTTTACTTGACTTTATTGCCTTTACGTTACTCATTACACTTTATCATGTTAGATCCGATTGCGTGAGTCATTTAGTTGTTCTTGTATTAATGAAATGTCGAGATTTGTGATTACGAAGTATTGGTTATTCTCTGTTTGTACTGGTAGTTCCTTGATGTTCTGTACGCTTCATTTTTCTTTTGTGTTGAGATTACGTTATTGGTTGTGTTAAGTTGTTTATGTTAATGAGTTGATATTGGGAACGGGTTGCGCACCGCAATATTATTGAAATGAACTGATATTGGATCGGGTTGCACGCCGCAACAGATAATGATATGATATTGGGATCGGGTTGCATACCGCAACAGATATTATGTTTATGTGGGATCGGGTTGCGCACCGCAATGGAGTATGATGTGTTATAACTGTAGGTAGTTGTAGTACTTTATTTTTATACTGTGATATGAGGTTACAAGATGATGTTATTTTGGGCCCTCTGATAGTTGACATTCAGGCCCCGTATATATATATGAGTTCACTGCTTTATCTATATTTCTGTTTTATATTATTATTATTATACGTACAGGTTTATAGTGAGTGTCATGCCATAGTCTCGTCACTACTTCGTCGAGGTTAGGATGGACACTTACAGAGTACATGGGGTCAGTTGTACTCATACTACAATTCTGCACTTCTTGTGCAGATCCCGATGTTGGTCCCAGCTGTGCGTAGAGGAGTATGCTCGAATCTGACTTGCCCAGGAGACATGAGGTAGGCCTGCTTGGCGTTCGCAATCCCTAAAATCCCCTTCTACCTTATTTTACTGTTTATCTTGTTTCAGGTAGATGTATTTCATTCACACTATATTTGCAGTATTATAGTCACTCATGTACTTGTGACTCCGGATTTTTTGGATTAGTATAGACTGTGTTACTTTGGGTATTTATCTCATGTATTTTAGAGATTATCAGCCATTAATTATTATTGTTCTGCTTTTAAATTGTTAAAATGGTTAATTAATTAGCTAATGTTGGTTTGCCTAGCAAGTAGATGCTGCGTAATCATGGCCCCATGGTTGGGATTTCGGGTCGTGATACCCATACAATATTCACAAGTTTCAGGTATTATTTGGGTAACTGGCAGAAGACCATGGAACTGGAGGTGATCATGATATGGTTGACGAATTGGAAAACTGCTGGTTGATTCGTTGAAACTGAAGGATGATCTCGTAGACAATTTTTTCTCATGCTTGAAGGCTAATATTATGGTTGTTGTCATGCTTCAAGATATAAGTATTAATTTATGTTTAATTAAAATTTATGATTATGTGTTGTCTAGATTCCATGCAAGTGATCGATGGTATTTGCTTCAGCTGTTTATACTTGTTTTCCATCAATATCTTTTACCATCGACGATAGAATTTTACTGCAGTTTGACACCGTGTAGCTCTGTTAGTGCCTTAATTACAATGTTCACTAATCAAATACCTCTCTATCTCTTACATTTCAGTTGAGATATCGAACTCTCATGATCACAATCACCCTTTACTGAGTGCACTTGAACTGACAAGGAAATGTGGAAAACTTGATCTTAATTTGAAGAACTTAATAATTAGTTTGACACTTACTCCGCTGAATCGGTTAGTTGAGGAGTAGCAAATTATGTCGATGCTAGAACAGTTCGAAGCAATCAAGCAGCAATATTATAGAAAAGATGATAAGATTGAACGTCGATTGACATTTTTATTCACAAGATAAAAGGATCAAAGCATAAAAAGTTCAAGTGTCTTTTCCTAAATCATGTTGATCATAACAAATATCAGAACACAAAATGCAACACCAACGTCTCTCCCTGCAGCAAACCATCTCTTGTTGCTAAATTTGATACTTGAACTTGACTGGACATCTGCAATCATGACCAAATTATCAAAAGCTGGATTAGTGTCGAAATAACAGCGCTATGGCGTAAACCCTAGTTATAGAAAATTATATACTATACCGCCTATGGTTGTATTGTTTCCAGTTTTTGAGTGGCTGGCGAAGTCGATAAAAACCTGAGCCTCCGGTGAGTTAGGAGCAAGTTTTAGAAGTGCTATCACAGAACAAATGAAGTAGAATTAGCTTCAAATATTAGTAAAGTCAATTAATAATGAACCTCAGTTTTAGTATTAAGGATGAAATAATGAGTATGTAATATCCTAGGTAAATCTCACGGAGAGATGCTAAGCATATAAAGAAACAAGCTTGAATTTAATAGTGAATTGAGCTATTACGTACCAGGGCATTCTGAAACATTAGTTGGAGCACCGCAGATGTATGGCAGACCGAGTGCTAAGGTGGCATTGATTTTGTAGCCAATATTTGGCTCATTTCTATCTTTGACAATAAGGCAAAGACAATATTTGGTTTTGTGTAGATCTTTTCTGAGTTGGGCACAGCAAGCTGGGGTGGGAAGTTGAGCATCTCCACCAACATAAGACAAGCAAGATGATAGATGAAGCAGTTGGTTTTGGCACTCTTTTCTATCCTCTGCAAAATCAGAGCTTGCAAAACCAATCATCAACAACATAAGTAAAAAATTTGATATTGCAACACTAGGGAATGCCATGAGTAGACGTTAAAGGATTTAATTCTGTCCTTTTTGTTCTTTTTTTGGGTGGGTTTTTGTCGGGGGAGGGAGAACGTACGCTTTTATATAAAATACCTAGAGCTCCCTATAGTATTGAAAGATTCACAACAACAACAACCTAGTAAAAATCCCACAAGTGGGGTTTGGGGTGGCTAGAGTGTACGCAGATCCTTATCCCTACTCCGGAGGGGTAGAGAGGTTGTTTCCAAAAGACTCTCGGCTCAAAAAAAAAAAAACAATAGACAATAGATCAGTGATAGCGACAGAAGCCAGAAAAATAATATCAGCTAGCATAGTAAGAAATAGAAAAAGAGTGTTAAAGGATTGTTTTCCAGAAAATTAGGGAAGATTGAAGAAATTGGGGTGGATCGGATATCAAAAGCCAAATTAAGCAAGTCAGTGAGTGGAACAAGATTTTGAACTGATTGGCTTAAAATAAGGTTTCTTGTGAGTAGCTATTCCAAGTTTTACAATTAAAAGATTCTGAGATATTGACATTCTTATACACTTCATCAAGTTTCAATTACGTTCTTTTACTTCTACCTCTTTCTTTTATTTTATTTTTCTTCTTGTTTCCTTTCTTTATCATGAATAACGCTTTCTGGAAAATGGATTTGGGAAGCAATCAAAATTGACATCAAACAACGCCGTGTATTGATATATTGAGGTATTCAACTTTCAAGTTGAGAATTATGCACTTTTTTTTTTTTTAGGGGGGGGGGGGTT